AATGGGGGCATTGTTTGAGGACAGCATTTCACATCRAAGCTCTTGGCAGTGTAAGAGGCAAGGCCAGACATTTCCTGAGTGGATCTGAAGAGTTTAAGCATTACTGAAYATAAGCCATGAAGAGCCCATGCTGTTGACATTATTAAGTGCCACCACATTCCTAAGGATATTGTTTGCTGGAAAGAGCAATTTTACCCAAATATCTCTGTCAGAAAGAGGAGGGGAACCTTGTACCTAATTCTGGGCAATTTYATCTCAGAAATCAGAAGTCACCAGGCCACAGTCTTGGACCAAGATTTCTTAGTGCTTTGGGCTGGACATTTGTTAGCCTGTTTAGAATATTGCTACCCTACAGCATACTGCACTGTTCCAGATCAGCTTCTAAATATCCATCAAAAGTAGTTCCGTAATGGTACCATCCTCGGAGTACTCCAGCACTCCTCAGTGTTTATATACATATCGCTTTCGCTTTCATATCTTTCCTGTGGATTTTCCTAAAGGCCCCATCCAGATGGGGAAAGAGTAAACCTTCCAATATAAAAAAGTGGCAAACATTTTCTGCACCATGAATAACATAGAGCAAATACAGAACTGACAATGTGAAGAAATGGTGTTCTTTGAAGGATTAAACAGAAATATCATGGAAAAGAAATATCATTTTTTCTTTTGAAATGGAGGACTTGCATAGCAAAGCAAGAAAATGAGGAAATCTCTCTCTAAATGAAAGCTTGTTACGTCATCTCTACCTACTAATACTCGTGCTTTTCAAGAAGATATCAAATATTTTCATAGGTGTGAGATTTTTGTAGGAAAAAAACATTTCTACTGATAACTTCTTTGAAGGACAAAGAAAAAAAGAAAGAAGTGGCGTCAAATCAAGTTCTCTTCACAGTATAATTGCAGTAGTCCTGAGCATGTAGAATTTGATGTAAAACACACAGAAGCACACACAAAGATAGACTGATAAACCCAGTATAGTTTTGCACTTATTGCAATTACTATTTCTACAAAGCCACTTACTGGAGAGCAACGTGCCAGCTGGAACCTTACCTGTCCCAGTATTTTTATGGCCTTCGCTATAGGTTGGCTTGAAATACTAGCTCTTTAACAAGAGCAATATGATGAGCGTATAGGGATTCATTCCAAGTATTGCACCAGTGATTTATTACGGGGACTTCCCTAGAGCACTCCCTCTTCATTGCCTTCATCTTTTAATGTTATTTGCCTTATTTTCTCCCAACACTCTAACTTTTCATCAGTTCCCCTTTTATTATCATTTTAGGATTGTTAATAGCCTAAGTCTCTAAAACGCTTCTTTCTGTGGATCTCAGAGGAAAAAAAAATCCTGTTTTGGGAAAGAAGGGCAGCAGAGGCAGGAAGCTGTTTCAAGTGAATTTACTATACATGCAAAAGTGCTGCAATGACAATTCTCCTGTGTTGCCCTTTGGCAGACATTGTCCATATCTGGACAACCCACCGGAGAGCATCGTCAGCACAACATGCCAGCTGTCAGCACAGCCAGAGAGAAGAAAGTTGAAGCAACAGGCAGAGATTTCCTGAAAACTCARAGCTGAAGTATTGTCTCATGTGGGCCCATTAAGACCAGGAGAGAGCAAGTGAAAAAGAGATATCTGGGGAAAAAAAATGAGGAAGAAGGGGCACCTTTATGCACCTCCATAAGAATGATACCACTCAGTTAAAAGTTTGCAACAAGTTAGAGGGTCCAGGCTCCCACCAAGGGCACATTTGATTTTATCAACTTAAGAAGCTGTTAGGCAGCCTCATGCTCTAGGCTTTCTGTCAGAATGCAGCTAACATAATGTTTTTAGATCAACTACAATTAAATATTTTCCGTTTGTCTAATTTCTTTCCTTCCGCAGCCTACAAAAAAACTTCCCAAATGCGCATGAAGAAGTCAGCTCCTTTATATTTTAATGGACAAAGACCTTTTCAATTATCTCAGCTTTTTTTTTTTTTTTTTCCTCCCAGCCCCAGTGGGATCAGATCTTGGCAGTGTCATAACGCAAGAGAAAGGCATAATGCTGAGTGTTCAGGCATCACCAGGGTGGTGTTTYCAGCAAACAATGGGGACATGAGGTGCACATACCACTGTGACTCTCAGGAAACAGTGCAAGAGGTCAAAGCTAAATATTTACATTTTATTTCTACGTACTTTTTTTTTCAGCCATCTGCACAAGTAATCATCTAAATCCAGCACATTATTATCAGAACAAAAAGAACAAATTATCAGAATGAAAAGAGGGCAACACCAGACTTTGGGGAGGAGGTGGTCAGTGCTGCTCCTCTGGAAGATCTCTCCTYGGACACAGAGCTACATGCTTGGATGCAGGGTGCCTGATTCACTTGTGGGTAGCTGTCCACAGCAGTACAAAATGAGCCTTTCAAAGCCATCCAGTCTTGTCCGAGCAGGAGATAGGGTGAAATCAGTAGGGACAGAGAGACCCTGCTACTTCCCATGTGTGATACTTCAAATGAGCAACCTACACCTCTGTATGAAGAGAGGAAGGTGCCTGCTAGGCATTAAAATGTAGTGGAGAAGGGGAAAAAAAAAAGACGAACATGGAAGGGTTAGCAGTTGTGCAACACTTTTGTGCAGACATGATGCATTCTTCCCTGCTTTTCACACTCAGATGGAGACAAGAAGTCCACTAACATCCTTAGGCCAAGCTTCACAGAGGGAGTTCTGAATATGCTGCCTTTGGAGCAGCCATCAAAACCGGCCAAATCAAATGCTCCAGGATGCTGTCACACTAGTTCTGGCTGRGATCGCCACCTTACTGAAATTCTATTACCAGAGTAGAAATATTGAATAATTTTTTGTGCTGTCTTACATGTAAAACATGAAACCAAGAATATGCTCATCTCTTCTGCTGCACTGAATAACAGAAACTTAGTAAGTGTGCATACATAGTCAGTCAGTATTGCAGTTCATCAGTGTATCAGGTCACGTGCTGTATATTGGACATTACACTGATCCTCGAACAGCTGCCACATCCACAAGACACACATCTTCATATCTGTGACTAAATCATAAAAGCAAAAAACAACAGTGCACAGGGCAACAGTAAGCTTGAATGCCTTTATTAAGATAGCAGCACTGAGCTACACAGACTCCAAGATTCACAACAGCAGTTTCTGCTGAGGTATCACATGCAAGCTACTGCTTTGCATTTAGGGCTGAGGGCGAGTGCTCAGCTCTTGTACRTGATACAGCTTCACTGAAAACAAGAGGCAAAGCTCTAGTCCTGCCACTTATACGAAGCTGAAGACTTAACTASTACAAACCAGAAAAAGTCTTACAGTAAAATAGTTTATGCTGTCTTAGTAGCTAACAGAAACTAGATTAAACAGATAAAAAGGATAAACATTTCCCAGACTACCACTCCACACTGATAAATCAGTACCTAAATACTATGTCTCCAAAGAGCAATTTTGAGTTCATGGTTATGGCTTATTTCCACTAAAATAATGTGCTTAAAGAGGGATGAGCTTGTTCACTGTAAGTTGCTGAGTTACATTTGACCCAGGCCTAGCAGATTGGAGGACAGCATGTAGCTATCAGAACCTACTGCCTGTGGTGACAACTTACCCTGGTGCTTTCCTCTCCATCTTCCAAAACACTTGCTACAGCGAAGGCTTGGAGCAGCAGAGGGAAGAAGAACATCCAGAAAGGAGTCCTGCAGGAGATGCTCACTGTGGTAAAGACTGATCTGAAGAGCCAGGGCAACAGCAGGTCTTTGCCAGCTCTGTGGCCCTTTGCAAGGTTTGGAGTGTCTGCCTTAATCTGAGAGCTGCAAGACCATGCAGGGCCCTGCTTGCTTGAGCATGAACTTTCTTCCCCTTGGCCAAGTGACAGTCTAGGCCTTTCCCTCTGAAACACAGAGGAGCAGTTTCCATTGCTGTTAGGAACATATACTGCAGCTAAATTCTTATCACCATTTCTGCTAATGAGTCACGGCACAGAGCGGTTTAGGCAGCAAGTCTAGGACACAGCTGAAGTTTGAGCTGAGCTGAGCAGCAGCAAAAAAAGAGGAAAAAAAACTCTCTAAAACTGTCTTTTTTATAAAGGGAAAATTGCATTGCAGAAGTTGTAAAGTAAAGCAGCCAGGAAAAGGAGACTATTGGAGGAAATTGCACAGCTTTTTCTTCCCATTTATCCAGCTGAACAAACAGATTGTTGTTGTATCCAATGGAGGATGTAAACTGTCCCCTTGCTCCTACACTAACAGTGGGATCTCACGGTCAGTCAAAAAACAGCTCAAATTTGTATTTATTCTGTTGCAACTGGAGTCCCCTCGCTTCAACAGGCAGTACACTCTGGAGTCATTCTGGTCTACTTCAACAAACTAAATAGTTACCAATAGTTATCTGAAAAAATATGGGCTCCCAGTAAGAGAAAGAGCTTTTTTTAAAAAATTATTTTCTCCACTAAGTGCTTATTGATTAGAAAGTTTACAATCAAATCTCAAAACTCATGCTGAAGGACACTTGGAGCCTCAGATTCGTGTTGTCTGCTCCTTATTTGCTAACGAGTCTACTACTTGGTCCTCCAGCTTCCGTATACATAAGGCGTTGCACTACTAGGTCTTCAGTATSACCACAGCTCAGAGATTCAACCTCACCCTAAGTAAACAGGTGAATTGCAAATTAAAAAGGAGTTTTCTCCAAGGCTTTGCCGATTTATTTCCTGGAATATTTATTTTATCAAGTTTTTCAATAGTCATACACASCAGGAATAGAAGAAGGGCACATTGCAACATGACACAGTGGGAGAGCCAGACAGTGGAGCATGAATAGAGAACCATGAAGCCTTTACTTGTTCCTTTTTTTTTCCCCCTCCATGGGAAAACTGTTGAGCAAGCTCACTTCAGTCTAGAGCTACAGTCACAAATATTTCTTAGGAAGCTAGGGAAAAGCCAGACTGACCAAAAAAGAAAAATCAGGGGATACAGAATCCTTTAATACATGATATTAACTTGCAGTAGTCAAAGTTGCAATCAGTGGTGATCATCATCAGGAAGAATAATAAAAGCCAAATGCTGAGTGGAAACAATCTGCTGTGCTTTATGTGAGGAGACATGATACATCTAGAAAAAGTAAAAGGAAAATAAATCATGACTGGGGGATGTAATAAACTCTTTTCAACTACTTTACCAAGTAGTAAAATGTTTAAGAAAGTAAAATGTGTAGGGAAGAACCTCTGAGTTGTTCCAGAATCTAAAGTGATCCATTAGCTGAGACTCTAGCATGCTGATTAGATGTAAGTGCTATGAACCTAACAATATTCTTTATGCTACAACCTTCTTGAACAACTCCAGAATTGCCAGTAACTTCAAGTATTGCAATCGCTGTTGACCACCAAGAGGAGGAATGACAAGAGCAGGATAATGAGTGAAGGAAAGCCTTTCTTCTCCCTRTGGCAAGGCTTTACAAATAGGTTTTAATGTAAGGGACCTAGATATGCCCTTTTTGCCAAACTACAAATGCCTAGTGGGACCCTTATCATCAATGGGATCATACAGATGCTGAGGCTGTAGCAGGAAGCCCCAAGTACCTTCTCTTTGCCAACCACACAAGCAGCCCTGCCCAATAACATGATAACCAAATAAGCAAGCGGGCAGGAACAGAATGGGATTGCAAGCACAGTAATTATCCTCGAGTTGTGAAACAGTATCATGTAATATTTTTCAGCAAGCCAGATTTCCCATATATCTCTCCCGCCTTAAAAGCACAAACGTACAGACTGTGGAGGGCAGCCAGGCGCACTCGTTTTCCAGCAAAAAATGGTGAATCCCATGGCATTCTGAAAAAGTGTCAAATTCTAAAGTTTCAAGGGTAGATTTTTTTTTGCTGGTTAACAGTCCTCAGAGCTGTATTTTCAAACTCTGCAGGCTCATGYACTGCTTATATATTATTAACATTTTCAGCTGTTATGTCTAACATGCCCCTTGTTTCTTTAAAAATATAAACCCAAGCTCTTTCAAAAGGGGGTAGCTTCTGAAACAAAAAGAGATCTTGGTTATAAAGACAGTGGTAAAGTTTCCCTACCTTCTATGATATAAAAAAATCCATGATATAATAAGGAATATATTTTTTTTGTGATCGTAATAGGCACTTCTCAAAAGTGGTGTGTTACAAAAACTGAGACTAAAGCCATGAGGGAAGAGAAGGCCATCCTCCTCCTCCACAGTCTTCAGYATTTGAAAAACAGCAAGAGCAGCAGAAATTCTGTGCTTGCTTCTATGATCTTCCCTCTTAATAAAAAGAATATAGATGTATTTTTTAATTGGAAAAAGTTCATCTGCAATTATTTAACTAGTTGGGGAAGAGCTAAAYAGTTAAAAGAGTAACTGATGATAATGCAGTACTTACATCTGATAACTTGAAAACAGCTAATCATAGAACACTTGGTAGCTGAAATYGTTGGATTTGATTCTGAAATTGTATCTTCCTGTCTTTCGCTGGTACTGGCAGACGAGAAGGCCTGCAACCCCCAGCACAAAAACAAATGCAGCAACGACAATAAGGATGATGTATCCAACTGCTAGCCCGGCCTCCTCCTCTCTCTTTGAATCAGATGCTAAAAAAAAAGAAGAGGTGAAAAACAGAAGTTTTGCAATTTATAAACCTATTCCTGGGATAAGGTGTCAGCCAAGCCATAGCACCTTGCCTACAAATTGGCCAACACTCATATCAAAGCACAGAGCTGTGAAATACCATTGATTTGCCCTTTTTGTGAGGGTGCTTTGCATGGAAATGTTATGGTCAACAATCCAAAACTGTTCTTTATATAGAAGTACAGAATCTCTGTAGACTTATAAGTGATCTGTGCTTGGAATTTCCCTCTAAAATTTTCTGTTAAAATAAGAATTAAATAAAGGATACGCAACTTTTCCAAATGCTGCCCTATTTTCAGAACAACATAGATTTATAGAGTTGGAGCATTCTCCCTTCTTAATCCTGCTCCCATTTATCCATGATTATTAAAATACTTGATTTGCTTTCATCTCATAAGTAATGCTTCTTTAAACAGAAGGCATTTAGGCAGAGATTCAGCTCTTGGACCAACACATTCACATTCATGAGGTCTACGTGGGGGTCCCTCTGTATGTGCTGGGTGTCTAAACTCCCTTTCTAGTCAGTGGAGATGCAGCCAGTGCAGTCAGCAGAGCCAGGCAAGTGATTTACACTGAAATAGTCGCCAAGACTCAACTTTGTAGCCTGAGCACCTAATACCACCTGAAAAGCTAAAGGAGCTCTGGCTTCTGCGTAGGGCGGGCAGACACAGTATAGGATCTACGGAGACCTGAGCTTTCCTGGAATAGCAAATAAATACTGAGGGCAAAGACACAACAGATCAGCTACAGCACAGTGCGTTTGGGTGCACAGTAAAGCCCTTGATTGCCAGGTCTCTCCCTAGGCCCCACTGACAACCAGTAAAACAAATTCCCCTAAGTTCAAATATAAACACTGCCATGCAAGTGCCAAAATCTGCAGGCACTTCCTCCTCCTTCCTTCCCCCTCAAACTCTTAACTTTATGCACCTATTAGCACCTGCACATGTACTCTTGCACACTGCCAATTTATTCTTGTTAATGTATATAAAGAAACATGTATTTGTCCATACACATTCTCAGGACAGCACTTGTTTAGACTTGCATTTATGCAACATCTGAGGTACACAGAAGACAAATACCAATGTACCCAAACCTGCAATTAGAGACAAAGTCTTTGGTCAAATGGCACTGGCAGGAAGGGACACAATAGCAGAGTACCAGCTACAGGGTATCCAGGGCATTATCCAAGATAAGTCARGACAGTTTTGCATTTTATTTTTACAACTTACTTCTCAATTTCAGCTTCAAAGCAAGGCATGAGAAAGGTACACAATGCAAATGGCAATGTGCAGTAATACTAAAGCCAATGTAGACAGGGAAGCACATTTATCAGTGGGCTTTGCTATAGCTTTTTCTATTTTTCTTTCCATATTTCACTGCAGCAGCTTCCCTGACAAGGTAATTTACTKAATCCTCTTCAACACAGATGGAGATATTACTGTCTAAAGCTAGCCTCACACTTGAAGTGCAATATGAGTATCTAAACTGGAAATATTAGACCACATTCTGCAGGGCYATGTAGCTACACGTTTGCCTAGATGTGGGTGTAGCACCGGCCAAATGCTAAAGCTCCACGCAGAGTTCCTTTTCTATGATGGCAGCTCGTAGAAATCCAATGATCATAGATCATGTCTTTCAACATTAAAAATACAGTAGGATCTCTGATGTAAATGTGAGCAATGATATGAGTGCTGTACAAACAAAGCTGTGTTAACTGATAAGTTTAAAAGGGGGAAAAATGATTCAGAAGTGAACACCAATAGCCTATTCTAACTGACTTAGGCTTGCTTATCAAGGAAGAAAGAATCAAGGAAGTATGCTAAGGAAGAACCTGTTTCAAGTTTCAGAAGAACATTGTGAKCATCAGAATAGGGGAGAAAAAGAAACTCCTAAAAAGAAACATGTAAAATTCATTCATCATTAAATCTGCAATTATAAGAGCATTAAGTGACTGGCAAAATAAGCAATCAGCAGGAGAAAAGAGGGCGACTTTTGCTTATTCCCTTTAGGTATGTGTTATAAATCTGAAGCTATACACTCTGAAATGTACAATTACTCTTACTGTGTATTTTACACTAATGCAAATGGCTGGAGGAAGCCAAATGACTTGAAATGTTGGCAACATTTTGAGGCAACAGTTGCCCTTGAAAACATCACTCATGGCTAAATGCAGAAGATGTAGAAAGCAGTACAAATTGGACCTTGCACTAAGTATGTGGTGCTGGTCTTCATCCTTCAGTAACCTGCATTGTACTGCTCCACAAGACTAGCCAAAGTGCTGCACACCAGCTAGGCTCTGCCACCTTCCCTTGCAGCATTAGTTAAGTCAATGCCAGGGAATCTAAGGAAACATGGCAATGCAACTGGCCATGCAGACTCTTATCTCCTCCTTCAGAGTTCAATACAACTATGGTCCAAGACTGGTATAGAGTAAACTCTACAAAAACGAACCACAATCTAAAAAATTCTAGCCACTTTGTGACAATACTATTGAAATAACTGATTGATTTTGTGGCTGTTGTACTTACCCATCTGTGCAAATGACAATGTGAAATTCTTTCTTTCTCCTTCTTTCCCCAGTCACCTATTTGATAGTCATTTCATTAAGGAGAGTAAAGACTTTTCCATACTGCCACATGGCTTCAGTAAGGACCCTCTCTCCTCAGGTTTTTATATCACAGAGGTTCAGGTTCCTTAGCTGGTTCAAAAGAATCTTGAAGTGGTGGTTACTCTGTGTCACCTTCTTGTAAACATCTATTCTTAACTCACCAGCAGATTTACATAGGGGTCCCCAGGATGTCCTGTGTGTGGCAATAGTTTCACCAGTTTTCAGGGATCGAGTACCACGGCATCTCTGCAACAATCAATTCAAACTCCAGTAAGGCATATGGCTGACTCATTAATAATACAGAGCCTTTTTGATGACTATATAAAAGCTGTATATTATTCTGACTCTTTGGGGTTCTGTTTCCTATCTTATGGTTCATTATATTGAAGTGAACACCCTATGGAAGTTCGAAAGGAACATTAGGGAACGGCATTAGGGAAATACCAGTTTATAATCTGTAGTTATTCACACTGAAAAACATGTGAACAGACATTTCACACAGATAATCTCTTTCTTTTCATTACTTTTCTGTTTATTTTAGGGAAAACCTATGGGAGTTATACATATACTTGTCCTCTCCATTCAACATACATATCTCAGTCTAACATTAATTTTGCATAAGAGAAAGAACAGTATACTTCCTTTTCCTTAAAAGAGTATTGCCACCCAAAGAAGAGGACCTGGCTGATCACCTCTGCTATGCCATGTTCATTGCTCATGTCAGTCCCAGCCTCCAGTTGGGAGGTTGCTTTACTTTTTGGACCAGTCCAAATCCACACAGCTACAGGTCTGCTCCAACAGCAAACACAGCAGCTCTTGGTACAGCCACTGCTTGATTCCTTGCAGCTCTGCAGTCCCTGTCCTCCCTGTCCCCCTTCTCTCCTACCTGGCTCCTCTCACCATGTCCCTCTGTCCTGTGGGGGACGCTGCCTGTGCAGCCCCACAGTCAACTGCTGCAGGGAACCAGCTCTTCCAAAGGAGACCAGGAGCTGGTGTCTGCTTAAGCACTGATTTTTAATGTGCAAAATCACCTGTGAAACCTGGAGCCTTCTCTGCATTTGGCAATCACGTTTCCTGTTCCTACTTCTTTGCCTCCTCTRGAGGAAGCTTTACTTTGTGAGAAAGGAAACAAGTATCTTCTGTTAGCCATTTGTGAAGTCTTTCAGGAAAAGGTCATTTGCTTTACAATGAGTTGTATGATAATTTAGTTATTTAGAACTAGAGGAAAGTGTAAAACAATGGAGGAACTCCAAATTGTTAAACATCCTTGACAGGAAAAAAAAAAAAAAAGACGATTGAAAGAGGGAGGAGAAAATTCCTGTGTCCTCACTAAAAAGCAAAAGAGCCATCAATTAAAGCTAGTCTTTATTTCTGTTGAAGTAGCACATTCTTAGATGGAACCATGTATCATATACTTATAATTAAAAAGAAACAAACCATTGATTTGGAACACAATTAGGCAGAAGTTCTTATCAGAATATTACTTTAGAAAGCCCTATTAAGCTGTACTTGATTTACAGCCCTAGAAATTTAATGCCGTGTTTTCTATCCTTGCACCTAAACTCTGACCTGGAGAAGTAAATATCTAGGTAAAAAAAAAAAARAAAAAAAAAAAAAGAGGGCAGAACAACATCCCAAGTCAATTTAATCAGACTTTTTTTTTACTGGAATTGCTATTATGGGTTCTGTCTGTTATAAGAACCACTGACACATATCTGAACAGCCTATCTCATTTTAAATTTATTTGTTACCTTCTAGATGTCCATAAAGCAGAAGTGAAAGGGTCAGTTCTCAAGCTCCCCAATTTTGATAACCATTTTTGTGTAAGCTCCATAGCTAGGAGAATGGGGAACAAAAAGCAAAAGGTGGGCACTTCCATGTGGCTTTAGTTCTTTCCTCCCCTCTCTGCTCTCAGCAGAGAATGAAGGAAAATTTCAAGGGTTGTCTTTTAGTGTTATAGCCTGCCAGGTCCCTAGAAGAGCAGTGAGACACATCAGAGTAAAATAGGAATGAAAGAGCAAAACCCTTACCATTCTACAGGTACTTTCTGGTGTCTCCATACAAATACGAACTTTGCAGTGCAGATAAACCACAGAATTGTTGACAAAAGAAAAGATTTTCAGCTTRAACTGTGCTTTACTTGAATTCCCATTCTCTAGCAGTGTAGTATAGGTGTTTGGGATGGGACAGCTGTAAAGGAAGAAGAAAAAACACACATGGTAGCTAGAGCTATAAAAGGTATGTTTTGTCAACAGCACGTGATAACTCACATTATGAAYGTTCTTCAGAAAGTCATAGCCAGATGCTCCATAAAACAACTCTGCAGCAGGCATAGCTGTGATAAAGGATTATTTGTTGTTTTATATTGTTGCAATAGCTAAATAGAACAGAACATTCAAGAATTGTCTGAAGGAATGAGGGAAGACAGAAACAAGGAGAAGAATTTATACTCAACTTCAGCAAACAGAGAAAGTGAATCAAATAATACATTAGAAGGAACACCTTATGWTACTAAAATAAAGGACTACTGTGTATTTTAAGATGAGCCAAAGGAAGAAGACATAGGAGTGAGATGAACATCATCTCRTGTCAAAGTGTGCTGAATACTGCTTGGGGTCACCGCCATATAGGAATCACCCAACCTAGGAAGTCAGTGAGGAGTCATGTAGGGCCTTGTTGATATCTAAACCATAGAAAAATGGACAAAGGATATTTCAATTGTACTTTTTATCTGAAGAAATAGGTGATTTGGGCAGTCAGTAGTGTAAGAAGTACAATTCCTTTAAAAGCTACTTGGGAGTCAACCAAACTTGAACAATCATCATACTCTACTTTGAAAACATTTTCTTTCTATACCTRCTGTCTTAACTCAAAGAAGGTGTGACCTATGAGAATGATAAAGAACTCTGCATATGAATAATGAGAACACACATAAAAGGCATTTAATAGGTAACACATTAGTGGTTAGTACCACTGGCATATCCAAGGTATGACAGTTACTGTACCTGTTGTTGATGAAAGTGAATGAGAGAGGATCCACTGAATTACTAGTTGGAGTTGCCCAGCAGTCAGTGAGTACCACCTTGAGCTTGGTGTTCTCTCTCTGGATGCCCACTTCAATCAGCACATCATCACTGGCAGAGACACTGAAATTTTTAGGTATTGGGGAGTTTCCAATGAATAACTGCATTTCTGTTCTGAAGTGTCCAGATCCATGMAAATCCTCAAAAATGGTGTAAATTCTGAAACAAAAATTCACCTCTATAACGACCACAAATCTGACTGTGTCAGTCATAAATACAGCGACTATTTCTGCACATCTCACATATATTATAGGGAGGAGTTATCTACAGTCCAGGATGTTAGAAGATTTTCAAGAGAAAGGGGTGAAGACACATAAAGTTTTCAGGCAGAGAGGTAGGAAGTGAGAGGGAACAAGATTGAGCTCTCTTCCAGTTGAAAACAATGAGAGCAAAAGCCAGGAAGTGACAGTCTGAACAACAACAGAGAGAGAGGGGCAGGAAGAAATGAAGAAATGTCCCTTATTATGGAAAGAAGATACAAGACTGACAAAGATTTTGCTTGTAGAGGACGGTACAGCATTTGAAGAGACTGAGGGGTCAGCAAGTGGATTTGGTGATAGATGAAGTGTGGTGGGAGGGAAGGGACAGAGGAGGTGGAGCTGTGCAAAAGGAGATCAGTCATTGTCAGGTCAAAGTCTGCTGTAGCCTATACTGTAGCCATAAACAGAGGCTTTCACTCCATCTTATTAGAAGTTGGAGTCTTTCAAAAATAACATTTGCATTACATATTTTTTTTTTCTAAGCAAATCAAATAAGAATTTGTAAGGACTTAAAAATTCACATCCTCCACACCAAGCRTAGTATCCACCTAGCAGTCTGCATGCCTAAAGTAGTGGAAAAGATAAAACATAGTTATGTTTCAAATGCAGGTAAATGTTGTCATTGCTAATTGCATGTGATTGCCCAGGGAGGCAAAGAGAGGTCAGGAGTTCTGGCTCCCAAATCAGCACCAGTAGTTCCTAAATGTTAATTTTCATCATTTTAACCAAGCAACAGACAACTTTTTTGGCTGTTGGATCTCTTGGCACATTGGAGAAGATCTGCTACTTAACAGGGATACTCAGAGAGCAAGATTCACAGGCTGTTAGGCTATTTAGGGTGGCAAACACTGTCACTGAACACAGCTGTGACCACTGGGGATTTTCCCCATGCAGCAGCGTTAACACAATAACATTTCCAGAGTTGTTCCTTACCCTTCTGCAATGTATCCAGATGAAGTCAAGAGATCATTCTGAAACACACAGTGGATTGGACTGGCAACTTTTAAGTGGTGGATTATTCCCTGAGCAGAAAGGTCATTCCGAAGTACTGTTTTCGCTACAGTATTAGTTACATTCTGGAGCACAGAAAGAAAAAAGTAAAATCTGTCAACATCAGTGTTAGTGTTTCTGGGATATAGGAGACCTACAAACCTGCCAGCTTCAGGTATTTAGGAATTATCTGTTCCCCTGAGTGCAAAAAAAAAATCAAGCAGATTAAAYCTCTAGCATCTTTGTTACTATAGAACTAGAAAATAAAAATCCTTCCTGATAGAGTCTATAATGATAATTGTTCCACAAGAGAACTTCTGTACCTCAGCACAGCATAAGCCTTAGGTTTGATCTGGRGTTGAAAACTTTAAGGAAATGATACTCCTTTAACAAAGACAGTTCCTCTCATGGCCCACACCACTATACAGTAATAATTGGGCTATTTGTTTTAATATTGTATTGAAATTGCTTTTAAGAGGAGCTTCTGACAGCTGCAAAGAAAACTGCAAAGAAGCACAGGAAGTGAGTGTCCATCAGGAGAGGCTGCTGAGCTTTGCTGCCAGAACCCAAAGACTTTCTTCTCTCGCTTGCTTGCCCCCATACAGACAGGTAACTTTCCCCTTGCAAGAAGGGGTTGTCCTTGCCCAAGGAAAAACCTTGGACCACATTTCAGCAGCTATAAGACTGTATTGCCRGGGTAGGAAGTGCTGTTTCACCCCAGAGAGCCCCACAGAGAAATGCTCTGGGGCTTCTTTGCATGCAGTGCCTCGAGGACTCACCGTCTGGACCTCAACGCCGCAGCGGCCCCAGGCTGCCTGCAGCACCACGTGAGTGCCATTGCTGCGGCTCACGTTGCAGCCAGGCTCCCCCAGGTACAGCGAGGATTCAGGGATCGACTCCTGCCGTAAAAACYGCTTCTGGATGGTAAGGATTATCTTCTCGATTTCACAGGACACCCGCACTGCGTCTTTAATGGAAGCCACTGGAGATGTTTCAGGAGAAAAGTGAGGAGCTGGCATTGGGTCTGTGGTGAAAGAAGGCAGCACCACACTGGAGAGGATGATGTTGTCCAGAGCTTTGTGTCCCGTARTAGAGTCCAATGCCGCTGGGGATGAAACGTGAGTTGAAGTCTGCAGGGATGGCACAGGTGAAACCGTGTTGTGTGCAGGTTTCCTATCCATCATTGTTGCCTCCTGGAGGACAGGAAGTGCTGAAGAATACCAGAAATAAAGGCATTGTTGTAATTTACACATCCAAGTGGATTTCAAATGATAACAACAAACCTTTATAAAGACACATTTACTCACAGTAACAGGAGTTAAAAACAAARCAAAACAAAAGMAARWCAAAKRAAYRAACAAAAATCCCAGCTCYTTTTACTGCCAAAGTCKTGGCCTTTTCTTAATACATAAAAAGCCKCTAATAAAAGCTGAAATGCTTCATTTCCTGAAAGCTACAATTATTTGTGTGCTTAAGCAAACAGGTTTATAGCTTTTGGAAGATCAGCAAGATATCTCCAATTGTAAGGTGCTTGACAACACCCAGACTTTTTTGGCAGATACTGAAGAAGGAACTAAACACTTCTAGTTTGGGAATCCAAATAGGAGCAGAACTCATCAAAAAAAAGGGCTCCATTTTTGCATAGTGGGTACCCAGAAATTATGCAAAAATTTTGGAAAACTCTTTTTTTGAGGAAATGAAGAACAAACCTCATGCAGCAGAATTTTTACTGACTACAGGAAGGAAGCAGACAGGGGAAAGACAGAACCAGGGACTAGTATTAATGTTCATTTGGAAGACCCCAGTTCCAGCACAGGCTCTGGGGTTTCACCATGCATGGCTCTGTAGTATCAGAAACAACCTGAGTGTTCATCCAGCACTGAATCAACGTAATAAATTCAACATTGTAAATTCTAAGTGAAACAGGATGTGTCTCATTGTGCAAAAAAAACTTCTACAACGTTTTTACAAAGTATATACATAAATAACGTCTATTTCCCAAGCTGCATAYATAAAATATGTCCTTCTGGAACTCCCCTTTGGGGAATGCCCCACGCTGGAAAGTTGCTGATTTGGAAACAAGTCAGGGAAAAAAAAAATCTGAGCTCTTTCAAAGCTGATTTTCCCCAAAGCTCCTTATCAAATGCTAAATACTTTTTTAAACAAAACAAGTGAATGGTTGGTATCAGTTCACCAATCCTTGTTACTTAGAAATTCTTTAAGTTTATGGCTAGACATTTCCAGTTAAGATGAGTTGAATACAACAAACCAAATTCATCCCTGACAAAATTTCAAGGTCTGTGGCAGGTGTGGCCTAATGATCCAATAAATATCAGATTGCTGGGATTTCAGTCAGCCATTAGATAATTAAAAATATATTTTTTTTGCCTTGGCAGTTTCTTCCAGGCTTCTCTGGGTGCACATCAGCAAATCCTTCATTGCAGCTACACTCATAAAACCCAAGTGTGTTATGACATGACGCATCTGGAGAGCAGTCATCTTCTTCCCTGGTGCATTCATCATAATCTGTTGGGTATATTTAAGCAATAGGTAAAGGAGAAAACTTTATAACTGAAAAAAATGATAGTTGTGAAACTTGAGCATGATGGTATCATCAAACATATCATTACACTTTGCCTGTGAAATTGCAAGACAACAGACACAGAGCTTAGAAGACTCTTGCATGTGGCTAACAAAAGTCCTTCAATGGCAACACGGTCACTTACAATGCTCAGCAGGTGCTCAACCTAACTGCAGGCACCCCACTCCTATGGCCCTAAACTGATCAGCCAAAGGAAGCACTTAGAAACCAGGGGATTCCTCGACAGTCTCCCATTCCACAGACGTGAAGAGAGGTTTAAAAACACAGCCCTGTGTAACATGCTCTGGGTGGCCCTGCCTGTTCAAGGCAGTTGGACTAGATGGTCTCCAGAGRTCCCTTCCAACCYTAATCATTCYGTGAATCTGTGAAATTAATGAAACAGTCTGAAAAGCAGGAGGTTCATATGACTGATACAAGTTTGCCTCTATTGGCTTTCTTCATTTTTTATCTGACCAAAATTTTCATTTTTGGAGAGAAAAATAGGCATAACTTCCTTTTTTCTTCCCAAATCTAATCAGAACTGTGCAGATATGAACATACAACCATAGGTGGGACTGAGAAAACAGTCCTAACATCCAGCTCTGYGTGGAATTCTCCCTGAAACAAACTGTATGTTGTAATGCAGGCAGGCACTGCACAAAATAGTCCTGATCCTACTAATTAAGTGGGTAGTTAAGTAGATGACAAAGCATCACGACTTGACCACTGAGTAATCGTGCCTGTATATATCAGAGAAACTGATGTCATTTTGTCCATAATTTTGACAGCTTATAACAATAGTCTTTGGACAAACTTATGTTGAGGATATAGATTTGCAATTTTTTTTCTAGGGACGACATCAATTTGCGGGACAGAATTCAGCAGCACTTAGTCAGGATATTAATGCTTCTTCTTACCATCTTAAATTACCTACAAGGAAGAAGAAATAAGCAATCACCCATTATGCTGGTCTTGGTAAACTGTGGACTTTCATCCAAGCTCCCAGGCCAAACGTGTGTGAAAAAAAGGATGCTCTCATTGCAGAATTAATTTACTTGTTTCTTGTTTCTTGTTTTTTTTTTTTTTTAATATATATATATCATGCAAATTTATCAGTGCAAAGCAGAGGGAAATCTATTTCAAAATGATTTTATATAGGACTAGACTGTCTATGTAAAATGACCTGTTTTCACTGGTAGTTTATAAAAGTCTCCATTTGTGACCACAGTTTGTAATTTCTCCATATCTTCCTTTCTATAAATCCCCTAGCTATAAGCCAAATCACCGGTTGGTTTTGTCCTTTTGGACCAGGGATATCATAGTTTTTATTTTAACTTTAGATGGTCTCTGAAAAAAGAAAAAAAAAAGAAAAGTGGATTGAGTGAGCTGGCAGAAGCAATAAAAGGAGAGATAATGGCTTTATGGCTTTTTCATCCACCAGTTTTACAGGTACTTTCATTTAAAAAAAACCCAGGCTAATAATAGGCTTTAGCGTCTTTCCAGCTCTGAAGAACTGTGGTGATATGAGCTGCTCCTTACCATTTATGGAGAGACTGCTCTTGTCAACTGTGAAATAGGAGCTGTGTTCAAAGGCATCATGAAAAGCTGTGATGAGGTAGTTGATATCCACATCTTCTGCAATCAGTACCTGGAAACTTACCACTGTGCTCCCATTAGTGATACCAGTTATCACCACTTTAATCAGCCCAGCATCCATTTTCAGAAGGAGCTCACGGGGCAGAGATTTATGTACCTGGTATAAAAAACAAAATATAGATAAGATGGATAGATAGGAACGGTTGCATTTTAGGCTTTGTGTACTGCCCAGAAATGAATATTATGCATTACAACTTTGCTGCTYACTCTGGAGGGCAGCAATAGAAAAATGATTCTTTGCTTCTTAGCAACATTTCCTCTCAACAGCAGCTGAAGGACTTGATATTTGACCATGAATATTAAACAAGAAAAATGATTAACCCCCCCTATCATTTGGCACAGGTACTCACAAAAGCTTCTGCTAACAAGAAGTCTGCAATAGCAGAAGGAGCAACAAAAGACAAGGAGCGAGGGCAGTGGAGAGGCCTCCAGGCGCTCCAGGCTGTGTGTCTACCTGTGATATTCATTCAGGGAGCTCAGGCATCAGGTCAGACCGAGGTTTTCATCTTTTTTGTCCAAACTTCCAGGTATTAAATACACTTGCAACATCTTCTTAGTCCATCCCCACCCCCAGTATTCCCTTCTCATCTTTTTTTTKSYTTTTTTTTTCTGAATATTTGATTTTATTGATACCTCTTTCTACTTTGGGCTTTGAATCTGGTCTATTTGTTCCTGTCTTTATTCATATTTTTGCTTACAAAGCATGACTCAAAGCTTGAAAAGTATAGTCAAAAGTACAGTCACATTATTTGTAGGTAACCACTAGATGACACTACAAAACCCTTTATTCAGAAGGCGATATGATTTCACAACATGTACCACACCCTGAGTTATCAAAGGAATGGTTGATGGATTATGAAGGGCAAAAAAATGAGGAAAAGAAAGAGTGACTTAYTAGAGTAATTCAATATATAGAATTTTGAGGTTTTCTTACAAAAAAAAAAGTCTTTTTGGAACTGTAATTGTATCTACAATTACTGCAGCATAAAAAAGACAGAAAACTCACAAGGCTAAAAGAGGGAAAACATGTATGCCAAAAGAAGAGCCACGGGAAAGAGAAAAAGCACAGACAAAACTAACACTGACATCAAGAGGGAGYGTCCCCTGTTAAAGCAAGAAAAACTATGAGTGAGATAGAGGCTCAAAGTTAAGGGCCATATGGAAGCCACACTACAAATGATGTAATGTCATAGGAAGGGCCAACAGGTGTTTTGAGCAGGAGGACAGCAGCAGGCTCACGGAGCCAGGCTTCCCCCACGGCTGGCTGTGGCTTTCTGGAGCCACCATGAGTAGGTCCCAGGCCAGAGGCCCATCAGAGCCTCTGCAGGCCACCTACATATGCAAGCCTGTAATCACCAGCCTTCTGGAAACAAGTGAAAGCGACATTAATTTTATCAGAACATCCTGTTAGCCAGAAGATGAGCTGCATCAAGCCTCTTTTTCTGCTCACAGAGCCTATCTGCCCAGCACAAACCGTGGAAAGGTACTAGAGCACCCATCTGCCCAGCCACCATCACAGCCAACTTCATGGATCCCTCAAGAGGGGGATAAACTCAGATTAACAAGAGGGATGAACTTCCACTGGAACCGTGAGACTGCCTTAATTCCTGTATCAGCATCCATTTCACATTCAAATGGCTTTAATTACATTATTTTTAAGTACATTCAGCTACATCAAATGCAGGCTATTGCCGCTCCAAACGAGGGGTCACCTTGTGGAGTAAGGCAATATCATTTATTAGTTTAACACTTTTTGTTAATCAATATTTAAGACACTAGAATCCTGAATGATCTCTCCCACTCAGAAATTGAATGTACATCAGAGAATGCATTCTCATTCCAAACTCTTTTCTTCAGCAGTTAATTTTGTGAAGCACAAGCCTTTGCAGTCATGATATTCTTGGCTGTTGCAAAAGAAAGGCTGAGCTAAACGCAAGGATAAAATATGCTCTCCCGCTTTGCAATATTGTATTTCAGGTGCAATGCAAGGAATACGGTGAGACTAGCCTGGAAAATGAGAGTGCAAGTTGTCACATCAAGATTTTTACCTCATGTTCACTCACACTGTATTCCAAGGCCAGTATTTCTATTTGCTCTACTGCCAATTGAACCACTAGGCTTTGAAGTAGTGGAGCAGTGCTACACTAAAGAACATTATACACAGGAGGACTTAAACRTTTTCTGAATTGTAGATGGTGACACCAAAGACATCTAACAAAAAATCTTTGGCAACAGTTAACTGGATCAAGATATTGCTTTTAAAACCCACAAGACTTTCTCTCTCTACCTTAATGGAAACTACTTGTGGCCCTTATAACCTGAAAACAAAAATGTGTAGACCTTTTTATCTTCCTAAACTTACTTTTCTTTGGTATTTGGAAATACAATACAAGCCCTATATATACTGGCTCAGAGATAGATGAGAACAAGGCCATAACATGTCTAGCCAGCTGATTCACAAAATCTGTGAGCTGGAAAACGCATTTACTTCCTTATTGTTCCAAGTGATTTTTCTTGAGTCTAAAACTCAAGAACTGTGTAACAGCAGAACAAAACATACTTTAGTTGCTTTAACTACATAAAAATACTTTAGCTCCTCTATCTAATCATTTTACAAATTCTCCAAGCATATTTGTATCATTGATTTTCTGGATTACGGCATCGGACTGAATAACCTGTGAGAAAGAAGTATTTATTTTAACCCATTTTAAAAATACACGATTGCCAAACAGCCTCAGGCAGAGGGTGATGTTGAATGAAAGCGAGGTCAGTGGAGAATTGCTCCCCTTTCACTCTGCATGCTCATGTCACTCTCATGTTGTGACTGTCTTCATGATGTGACAGCCCTGAGAAAGCCACGCTCCACTAACACATCCAGAAGGGTGCAAACGGGTAACACCCAGTGGGAAAGGTACTTCACATCCATGCAAGTGGTATGCACAGCGAAACAGATTATACATTTTCCTTACAATTTTCTCTGATTTCTTGCTGGCCACGGTATCTTTCATTTTTTTTGGTCTCTGCTTGAACACAAATTGCACTGCATTCCCCACAGGCAGCTGTGTTTCAGGGCCGGGCTATAACCCTGTGCACAGTGAGAGTCTGGGGAGAGCTCTGCTGCATTTGAAGAGTAAAATAATTGTCATCACAGTTATTATTCCTTCTAAAAAGTAGACAGCTAAGATGAAACAAGACAAGGCCATGAAGCAGCACGCCACCACCCATGTTTATCTAACCACAGATGTGTGTGTTAAGTAAACTCCCAAAGATGCAGCAGGAACAAACTTCCAATAAATTTACCAGGAAATTAGAAAAGTAATACTGTCAATGAGAATTATGAGAGTGTTAAAGCAGGAGCTGCTATTGCAGTGTGCTTTGATACCCTGTGCCCTAATTAGAAGTGATGGCAGAGGGGACTTAGCAAGAAACCACATTAGACTCCTTCTCTAGACATGGGCCTACAAAAAAAGGATGATTATAAAAGTGTCAGCCTCAAGGTACTATGCAAAATGGTAATAACAGACACGCAGTGTCATTAATATACGTCCATGCTGGGCAAGGGTATTGCTAGGGCATTGCAAATATTCATTAACATTCTGAAGGAAATAAGAAAGGCAGTACAAGTACATCTGGAAACAGAGGCTTTGGAGAACCCCCAGGTCCTTGCCCCACTCTAAAACTGCAGCACRTTGCGTGCACAGACTCACAGTGTCAGTGGGACTCAGGACGTGCATAGGTGTGTGAGGGGGAACATATGTGCCAATATACCCTTCAGTGGGAAAGAACATACACATGATTTTATTGAGACCATCAATGCAGACTGCATCCTTCTTATCCACTTACTTTGTCAGCAAAGAGACGTGCAAAGTTTTGATATTCCTTGCTGCTTGTATTGCCAAAGCCCAGACGGTATTCCACATTTGTTATCCGCACCACTCCAGTAAGTTTCTGGACAGCTGCAAGGCMAGAAAATGACAATTTAAACACATGCTTCATGGACTACAGGCCACAGATGAGTGTKTGATAGTCACTGGCATGCCTGGCTACACAGGGCTCATTTCAAAACAACAGCAGGTCGGCCCCTTGAAATAAAGTCAGGGATGCTAGCGCCTAGGCACAAGCACCCAGCATTTTAGGCTACCTCCTCTGGCCTCTGGATGATTTTCAAGATGGGCACAAATCTCACATAGGTCTAATATCTGACACTTCTAAGTCTTGGATGCTGTGGAGCATCCAAAACATTACTTCATGGCTATGTTCAGGTGTCTGAACTCCTTTCCTAGTCTCAGCTTGTTATCCTGGCTCTACCAATACTCCAGGCAGGGAAACTGGCCCCTGCAGTGGATAAATCATTCCAGCTAGGTCCTCTCTCCAACYTCGGGGGGAGGCTAGATAGCTGAACATCAGGCATATACATTTCAAATATCTATTCTTAGGTGCAATTATTTATTTCAGAAATGACAAGTACTTCTTGATATTACTTATGAGGTTGTTACAAGAGCAATTGAAAGTGATCATGAAATGGAGGAGAGGGACTCTCATACATGTGGCATTCAGCGGAAACCAGTGGCATCATTTTAGTGTCTAACCAAATAAGATGATTTGTATCAATCAATACCTCAACCATGGCCAGTCCATCATTTTTCACACTGTCTTCTAGCTTTTAATGGATGATCACCTTTAGCCTTAGGTATCCACCAAGATATATGCTGGCTTCAGTGTTACAAATAGGAGATGGTTCTCCACTAGAAACTTAAAGGACAGTATGACCTAGCTAACGCATTCAGTTTTAGAAATTCTTTCAAATCCAGTCTCCACTTTCTGGCATACTGCCATGCTTTCCTTCATACATCTTTCTGACCTGATTGCAACAGTGTCTAGGATACCAGGTGAATGTCCTGAGACTGTCAGGCTCCTGCACTGAGGTTTAGTCTCCCATATTAACTACTTTTACAGAAACAGCAAGATTTGAAGGGCAGGGCTCTACAAAGACTCTATGCACCAAACTACATGAAAGCTGTTTTGGGTCATATTGGGGAGAATAATTGTTTGAACTGGGACAGGTGCTAGAAGAAGAGAAGCTGTCTTGAAGTAAAACTTCGCAGAGTAGAAGAGAAAGTCATGTCTACTTAAAGCAAGCTACTGACAGCTTACTTTATCTCAAAATATTTCTGATCCAGAAGGAACCACCTCTAGGCAGAATGAAGGATTTGCCCCTGCTTTCTGCTGTGACTAAGGATGAGCTCCAGGTTAGAGATGTTGCCACAAGGAGGAGCTCTATATTACACTTCACCTTTTTATCCTTCGAATTACCTGTCTGGGTTCATGAAGTACCACCATGGTGGCTCTTCTTGTTGTTCACCAAGCATAGTCCCTTTGTAGACCTTTGTGCTAGCAAAAGCTAGGCAAATATACTTGGCTTAATATTTGATTCATCCATAAAATAAAGCAGATGTATGTATTAATGTGTTTGTGTAGAATTCTTCAATTTGTTTCTCAGCTGTAAGAAAAAGATCTACAATATCTGATATCTAAAAGGAGCTACCTCAACTTTTTTTAATGAATGTTTGTTGTTTTCATTTAGGGAAAACAAACAAACAATCAAACAAACAACAACAACAGCAAGAACATTTCTTTTATTTTTGCTCTTTCCTGTATCAAAGAAGGGGAAGACACAGAAAGAATCAGTAAATAGAGCTTTTCAGTGGAGGTCAATATTTTATTCAGTCCAAAATGACTTTTTTTCCTCCATTTGCCCAGCAAACTCCCAAATTGTGTATTTACCTAGCTCTTTTCCTAAATGTCACCAATGCCAAGCAGAAAGAAAAAAAGATGAAGGAACTAAAAAGAACCAGAAGGCTGCTGGATAAATGGAGACCCCAGGAACAAGAGATCCCAGAAGAGAGGAAGAGAAGAGAGAAATGGGAGTGTGTAGTTTGTAGCTGAGAGATGTAGAAGGCACAAGAGAAAAAAAATAAAGACAAGCAGAAACACAACTGAAACAGGTATCCCTTACCAACACAGTAAAGGAACAGAACATTTAGCACAGGACAGATAGTGAGGTTCATATACTAACCACAGCTATAATTTAAAGATCAAAGCTGGCTCTAAGCCTGAACTATGATTCAGCAACAATCAGCAGAAAGATTCTCTAAGTAGTTGCAATACATCCTCCCCAACTGAAATGGAAAAAGGTCCTTCTATCAGCCCTCTTAATCTCAATTAAAGGTCTTCAAAAATGGCTCATATACATCCTTGCACGTCTGCCCTTCAGGTGATTTTCTTAGTTCTATCTAATCCTTGCTTAACCAAGGAAATACAAAGGCAGGTCATTTGCTTTCTCATGTCTCCGAGATATCTCTACAGATTGCTGCTATGGTACCTGGTGCCACAGCATGCAGCAGAAACCAAGATATGTGACAAAAGGACAAGTAACATATGATTTGATGAGGATGCTCTGAGCGCTGTACAATTCGCTTCATCTGTTTTGAGAAGAGGAAACGTATCATCAATAGAACTACTGTCGAATACCGGAAAGTCAGAATATTTTGACATGTTGATTTAGAGGGGGAAAAAARGTGTCAGTTCCTGCAAGAAAGTATATTTTACAAATACAAACTAGTTTAGTTGCCTTAATTCCAGACCATTGATTACAAGAACCATGCATCTTTCTGGAATTTGGGTGAGGTTTGGCTTACCATGCTGCTGCATTACTGTGCATGCAGGCCCTTGGAGGGCACATACTCACTCTGGTCCATGTCTGGGCCTGGATTTGGGCTGGACACCTGAGAGAAGTCTGGCAAAGCTGGTGGCCCCCAGACGCCAAAATATTTCTCAGATGAAGAACTGTTCTTTCTCTCCATCTCCATGTGCCTTTTGAGAGTGGTATTGAAAGGGAGAACTCCAGCATCTCCTGTGCCCAGCAGAGCTGTACTGGTGCCACCCTGAGACACACCAAGAGCTTCATGTCTTGCTGTAATAGCGGAGGCCGTTTGATTTGATGGTACTGGCAATGGTGAACTGAGTGGCTTCGGGCCAGCCATGCCCATGGGTGCATCTGTGGGGGCAGCGTCTTGTTGCAGTGCACCAGGGGAGGCCTCTGCCACCGAGCTTTGCTGTGACAGGCTCACAGCTGCCTGCTGCTCTGTGGTCACGGCCGGTCCCTCACTGGCGGCGGCCCCTGTGGCCGTGGAGATGTTTTCCCTGCCAAAGCCAGACCATAACGACAAGCCATTTTTCCAAGTGGCTGGAGGAGCATTGGTGGGAGTAGGGCTGTGGTGCGCTTGCTCGTCACTCAGGGGCAGTACAGCAGGGACGTGGACAGTAGTGCTCGTCTTGGAGCCTGCGGCAGCTACAACCTCCACCTCAGCGACGGCTGGGGAAGCAGAGCCTGCAGTGCTCACTTCAGGAGCCATCTCCGTGGTGCCTGTTACTTCGGGAGCCATCGTTTCAGTAAGGGGGTTGACAATTTCACCTGCAGCAAACAAACACACATGAAGTGGAAACTGAGACCGGAAGAGAACAGAAGCACAGGCCAGATCCCACCCGAGGAGAAGGCTGAAACCACCTCACCACATGTTATAGTGTTATAGAAACAGGACTCAGATATTTTTTTGACGAATTGTAATTTTTACATTACTGAGTCTGTTTTGTGCCCACATGCAGAAGAATTGATTCCTGCAGCTCTTCTCCCAATTTGCATGCCATGGATCATTACAGAGAAGGGAAATCAGCCTCAGAGATACCATGAAGAGGAAACTGTGCCTCATGTTTCTCAGTAACCAGTATTTAGGCTAATCAAAGAGTAGCTCTGAGAAATTACATGCAAAGGCATGTATGAGGGCCATCCATAGTAGACATAGATCATACATGGTTCTTCAGCCAGACTCTGCACTCTGTGCATGAYACACGTTTCATGCATTTTGTGGCATGATACTAATAGAGGCAGAGGTAGAAACTATAGTTTATTCCCATCTTTTATGGCAAAATGAAAAACAGCTGTCTCGCTCACCTTCACATTTTCTTCCAGGTCGGGATGGATTTGTGTCCATGGTCGTCTTGCATCGACACATGTATGAACCCATCAAATTGATGCATTCTGCAAGTATGGAGCAGTCATTCTCAGACTGAGAAGCACATTCATCCCAGTCTGGAAGACCAAAACAAGAACATCCATCAAATGGCCTCCCTTCTGCTGCATTATGTTAGAAATAATGACAAAGAAATCCTTTCCTGAATATTTAAATTTACTTATGTGATCTTCTCTCATCATTTACCTGACAAACAAACTCTGAGTGATGCAAACACTGACTATGTTGTTACTGGGTCAAATAAAAAAATCAACCTTTGTCCTTTCACTCTAAAGAATATTTCCTCCAGATAAAGAATTCTTAAGAATTTTTCTTTTTTTTTTTTTTTAAGAATTATACACTGATTTGAAGGGAGAAAATATCATAGGTTTGTGCATAGCAAAGTCTGCTAGACGCTAGAAAACAAACCAGAGGAATAAGATAACAAGAGGTCAGAGAGACAGATATATCAAAAGGATACATCATACAAAATTCTGGTTATAATATCTCCAAATACATCAAGTAATGATTAGTTCTGTTACTACTAGCTACATTATTAAATACAGTTTAAAGTCAAATCATTTTCTACTTCAAATGAAAGGTAAGTGAAAATAACTCCCCTCTAAAGAGATTGTGGTTCATCAGGGCATGAATATATTCTAATAATATTTCTAAGATCTAATTCCAATCACTCTGARTAGGTTCAAGTAAGACATTCTCCCCATCATGGAGCTTTAGACCAATTTTATGGTTTAGTATCCTCACTCCTGAAGGATTTTAATCTGGAGTTTTGTAACAGCATTTGCACTGTGCTTCAGCAAACATGTAAAGGGGGAGTTAATGCTTTATACGTGAATAATCCCAATGAATTCCACGTAACCACTCCCTGTGCACACTCACTTGTGCATATATATATTCACAGCCTCAGGCATTAATCCACTGACAGCAGGAAGCCAGACTAAAAACTCTACATCTTGGCACACGTAATTCGGATTAGAGACCTCACAATCATTTTGCACAAAGCATTATTATAAGCACTTGTTCTGTAAACAGACATTAATTGCTGTATTTCTCAGAAAAAAAAAATCCCCTTTTAGAAATAGAAAGCACAGAGCATGTATTTGCATGTACATGTACATACATGCATTTACCTTTGTACTTGCACACAAGCTTCCCCTTTTACTTCCTTCAAGATAGTATTTCAATTCTTTCTCTTTTCTTCCTCATCAGATAATTTTCACCAGATAATTTCATGTGTCTGTAGCCAGCATCTACCTATCAAGCTACAGCCTAAGCCATTTAGAAGGAATGTAGAAGTATGCAAGATTGATTACACCATCAGTAATGAAAATGTTTTCACAAATGCCTTACTATGCTATAAGGCATTTGCAACTCTTGATGGTTTAAAACACCATTTGAGAGATGTTCCAGTGCTAACTGACAAATAATTTACGTTCCCTGGCTCCATTGTTGCTGATGATTTCCTTTCCCATTACCTAACAYGGCTTTTTAAGCAGTTTTCTCAATCTCTGCTGACCACATTCCACAACATTTCAGCCCAAAACCTACAATCTGTCCTCTGCGCTCTTTGGCACTAATTTATACACATGTAGACACACACATCACCCTTTTTCTTSTATAGTGTTTGCACCTCAAGGTGGGCTCTGTGCTTCGTTTCTGCACTCTTGGCCTGCCACATTCAACAAGAACCTTCTCTGACCCCTACTTCTTCCAAGAGTCCCACATCCAAAAAAAAAAAAAAAAATTAAGTGCTCTTGTGTTTGCCTTGATTACTCATTATGTCTGTAGCAAGTTCACAGAGTGGGTACGAATCGGTGAAACCCTGATCTAATCTTGTCTAATGATGTTTTCTGTGCTTGCATGATTTTATGGGGTCCATGGAGGAGAAACCCAAAAGAAATCACCTTGAATTCATAGAGTCCTGGAGGAGTAGATAACCAACACAGGATTCCTGAAAGGCATCACCTACACTTGCCATATACTTGCTCTTCTCCAGGAGCTGGCTCCCAGCTACGACTAGGGACATGATATAGCACTAGGTGCATCTTGATCCTGGATCAGTACATGTTCTTTCCCTTTTCTCACTATGCCTCACACAACAGCCATTTTGGTGTCTATGTATTATGACAGAAAACCRAGATGCAAAGAGAACCACAATAGTGCCGTTCCTTCAGTTGGGCTACGTCTTCTGTCTTCTCATTCTTGCTGTTTTAGGGCTGAGTTCTCTGCTCTGTCACTGTCACTAAATCAAAAACATTGTCCTTAATGGCCAGGTTCTGCAGAGCATCTCAGAAGGGGCATTGCTCCCTCAAGACAAGAGGAGCTGGACAAGTTTATGACTTAATACATGCCTCAGGACTTAGGCTGCCCTGCTTTCTGACCCCATCATAAAACCTTTCCTTCACGTACTGCACTCATCAGTCTTACTTTCTACATGTCATTTTGAGAAACTCATGTCAAATAATGCTGGTCTGGCCAGAGCTAAGAAACAGACTCGATTTTCTCTCCATGAACAGGAGTGTTAGAGTTGGCTGTGCTCCTAGATAAGAGTGCTGCTACTGGAAGTCATCTGGCTTTCTGAATTTAAAATAGCACTCAAAAAATTTTGCCTCCTTCCTTCCAAACCCTTCAGTCACAGCACACCCACAATCCTCTGCAGTCAGGAAGATTATATCAGTTACGTTTTTAAGGTATATTTTGGCACACATCAGCATCTTGCAATTCAGTATCTGCTAGCAGTGCGATATTCATAGGCTTCAGGTGCAATCTGTGTTTTCTGTCTTTTTCCTCTCCTGTTCTCTGTAAGCCTGGAGCCTCTGCAGCTCCAAAGAGAATTTTGTCTGATGGTAAATAAGCTTTTAAGCTTTTTAAGGGAACAATACACTGGGAGAGAAGAATAATCCATTCTGTTGACTTTGGCAACTCTCTGAACTCTGGCTGGCTTTGTCTGCTGTGAAACCTGAAGTCAGAACTTAGCCCTTTGAAGATAAAATGGTGATTACTTAAGATCAAACAAAGGCCTAGTTTAACATAAATTCCATACATGCTTCTTTAGCCCTATTCAGTAAAAGGACACTAGGGARTTTCTGTGGCTGGATTTCTATTCTGAAGATGCTGGGTTTCTTTTCTGGAGTTCTGGCCCAAAGACAACCGCCCAGCCTTTAAGCACAAGCTGTCCAGAGGGCATATGTATTTAAAGGCTACAAATAACCCACAGTATCATTAATTCAGCACAAGATACAGCAAACTTCCAACAGTGTGGAAGGCTGGCCATCCACAAGGAGGGAGAGGAAAGTTAATAGGAAAACTGAGTGCTCCTCCTTGAACATACCAAAGTAAAGGGAAAGGGTGCCTGCATGCACCTAGAGATAGCCAAGTGCTCCTTCTTCTGAGCTTATAGATAAAATCTCACAGAGGTTTCTCATATCATGGTTTTCTATCCAACAAATCACTGTAAGATCCGCATTGTACTGTGTTTCTCCACAACTTTGTTTTCATGAAGAAAGCTAATGACACCATGGGTGATCAAAATATGAACTCTGCTTTGCTTTTTAAAAATATACCTTCTACTACGGTGTTTTGTTGATCCACCAGAATCCTAGAACTGTTGTATAGGTAAGAAAGCATTGGGGCAAATGTAGAGGCATCAATGGAAAATTCAGGGTCCTGTACAGTGATTCTGAGCCTCACAATGATACTTCCAGCTTGCAGAGATACAATCTGCATTTTCAGCTTCCCAGATTTGTACAAGGCAGAAATGCTGKGTGGAAATGAATTTCCAATCTGAACAAAGTGAGAGAAGCATCAAAAATTAGGAACACAATAAGAGTAGCTTATTTTAAAATTGAACTGTGATGGTACTACTTTTAAAGATTTATATATGTGCAGTATTTAGTAGGAAAATGTGGTTAAAGGAGAAGTTTCAAAGTGTTTTGTAAAGCCCTTTTTTCAGAGATTATATAAACACACATAAATAAGAGTCTCAGTGGTTGACGTTTGGGAGTCTCATTTGAAAATGGGACTCATCTGACCACTCATCTTACCCTAAGCAGTATCCAGGTAGGGTTTGGCATTTAGTACAGGCCARTCTCAGTAGTCAATCTGCATGCGGCCACCATACCATGCAAGACGTGCAAGATCCACATCTTAGTGCAGAAAACTGATTCTGGAAAGGTTTGATTAACCATTTGAGGCATAGCTTTAGACACCAGTGACTATCTGAAACTCAACAGTCCAAGGCTAGCCTGCACCGAGTACAGTGACAAAGTAATCTCAGGGTGAGCAGGAAGAAAAATGGGCAGACAGCCTCCAGAAAATATCCTTGAAATAGCTCACCTTAAAGGCAGTATCACAATTACATCATGATTGATTAACATGCAGCTAATTCAGCTGAGCTAACATTCAGCTTATTGAACAAATGGTGTTACTCTGAGTATGAAAGATGCACAGTGCTGTCAATATTTGAGCTGTGCAGAAGTTGGCAGGTTTCACACTAAATCTCTGGGAAATCTCTTTTTTGCAAGAACTCCTTTCTACATGCACCTTTGAGCATAGCCATAAATCAGTACAGCTTTGCTCCTATTCAGCCAGAGTTTGCTCAAAAAAAAAAATCTATAAACAACCTGCTAATCTGATCTAAGTTTCTATTTGGGTGGGGAAGCAAGAAAAAGAGAGGAAGAAAGAAATGAGAAATGCCCGGCATGCTCCCAAACATGCAGTGAGGCCCAAAAGGCACAGATGGGCGGCCCTCATTTTCCTTCCCAACTTTATGATGCCAATTATGTTTACATCAGCCTCAGAATAGGTTCATTGATAACATCTCTCCAACAAAAGTGGACAATTTGCAGCTATGGGAAAAGAAGTCATGCTAGAAGGCTCARCTACCACTTTTTTCATAAGTAAATGCCTCTTCTGTACTGCCTTTAGAAAATGTAGCTTCATTGATGTTAGCAATATATTTTTTTTTTAAGACGGCTTTATATTCATGTATATTTATAAGATCTTTTGTATTTTGGGAAAGTTTAGTTTTGGACCTAGATCTGAGTTCCTCTGTCTGTGCCCTGTTCTCCACAACCAAACTGTAAGAGACYGTGGTGTCTGAAATGCCCTCTGTGTTTGGGAAGCTGAACGTTGGTAACAGAGCTCATCACTCAGTTTTGTTTATGGCTGATTATACCTTATAATATATATAGCATTGATGGTGGCTATATGTAGCTATATAATGAATTGAGTTAGAAGAGAAAGGCTAAGGCAATCTTTAAGCCTTTGCTTATAGAGAAAAAGAACTTTGAGAGCAGTCTGATATTTTTTGAGAAGACAACACTGAAATGAATGCTAGCAAAATCATTTCAAAAATTCATTAAAAAGCCTCAGGTCAGTTTACTGCAAGTTTACTACCTATGTAAAGAGCCAAGCGAGTAAGTCCCTATTGCACATCTGATTTTTTTTTATTCCTTTACTCTTCTGTAAAGGAAAATTCCCACTGGCTCCATCACTAACAAGATCAAGGGCTTGATCTGCTTAGTCAGATGGATTTTGTTTTAATTACAAAGATAGGTCACAGGAAATAATACGATGATTTTCAAGGGATATTTAAACTGTGCAGAAAATTCTCTATTAAATTAAATAAATTCTCAATCCAAAAATATATATTACCCATGATACTTCAACATTACCTCTGTAAACAACAGTCTTGAAAATTCTTGATATGTTGAACTATTAGTGTCATAGAAACCTTCTGTTAAGTTGTAGTTCAGGATCCTCACGATGACACCGAATATCTTGGCCTCTAGAAAACACAATATTGAAATACATGCTAACCAAGCAGAAGAGGAAAGGATTCATTGAAAACTGATATACTCAGAGCAAAATCTTCAAAGTATGGCCAAATGCTGACAGCCAGCAGTAATATGGTGTCAGCACCCCTGATTTTGGCATAACCTAAGACAAAATGTATAAATTTGGAATTGATCTGCAACCATTTGTTTTAGATSCAAATATACACAGAGTACAAGACTTGAGCATTGCCAGCAAAAGAAATATAGTGGCAGCAAAATTGCTGGTATTTAAAAGAATATCTTCCTTTTGTATTTAAAAGAAGGTCCCCTCCTCTTTTTGGGGGGAGGGAGAGGGACCTGAGGGGCAAAATAATGTTATATTAAAAAAAAAAAAAAAAAAGAAACTGAATCCAATTTGTTGCTATTAGTCTTCTATACACCAAGTACTTACAGCAGGTCAATAAAGATATTTAGGTGCCTAATTCTAACCAAGTGAGAGGATATACACATATCCTTGTGGGCCTGGCTCTACATAACTATTGCATTTGATTTACATCCAGGGTTGAACATCTGTCAGTCCATCTTCAATCCAGCAGCCACAATATGTTTTCTCCCAGATGTAGGAACTGTGGGGAGTATGTATACTCCTAAACTGAAGAGGGGAGAAAATGTGCGTGCAGCTTCCTCTGGTGAGCACGGACAGATCCTGCACAGAGCACATCAGCTGAAAATTAGAGCTGAGGAAGCTATAATCAATTTAACCTGTATAAACAGTTAGAGGTAGTTACTCRTTGGACTTATCTTTGAAAAGCTCCTTTTCTTAAGGGCTCCAGSTCCATACTGCAGCCAACCCTTTGTTTCCAGGAGCACTTAGACCTCCTACTTTCCCCCCATGAAGACAGGCAGATCCTGCTGACCAAAATAGGAGTCATCTCATCTGATCAAAGGGAAGGTACTTATAGATAAACATAAATAGAAGCATTCCCATGCTGGCAGGCATTAAGTAGTTCACTGCCTGCTTTTTAACAAAAATGAAGGAAGATTTCTTTTTGTGTGAAGGCTCAGAAAATAATTTAAGGATAATGAAAAAGGTAAGTTATATTTCATCAGCAGATTAGGGTCTTGGGGAGCTAACATCACTGGCTAATTGAATGAAATTATGCAGCTATTCTGCAGGCTTTCTTATATAGCTCTTGTCATTCACTTTAACCCTGGTCTCTCACAAACTATTCATCAAAATCTAGCCTTCCTCTGAGCACATTCAGTAGCTCAGTGGAGCCCTGGCCAAACCAGCTGACTGAATTTTTCACTTGTGCAAGCAGTCAATCAGGAGAAAAAGATTCTCATAGCAGAAAGGGTAGTGGTGGCAGCAGAAGGTAGTGCCAACCAAGCAAAAGTGAATTCTAGCTTAGCCTAATATCTGTAATTGTCTGAGTCAGCTCTAGCAGTGCTTCATCAGCTGAGGGTCAAAGCCCTGCTGCCTGGTAGACCAGTCTGAAATGCTGGTGCAGAGGCAGATAAAGTGTCAAAGGAGGTAGGAAATGAAGTTCAGGGACACCCAAAGGGATCACTGTTGAGCTGCATGAGTGTAAAGACAGAATATTTTCAAGTGGCTATATACCTGTTTTAACATTTTGTTGAGAAACGCTTTTTTTCCCACATGTTTCATAGCTGATTTCTACCGAGTACATGACACCTGCCTCCAGTCCAGACACATCCATTTTCATTTCCTCTGTCTTCAGGTTTTGTACAATCTCCTTGTCCTTGAGCACTTGGACTTGGAAAGTATGGTTCAGAGTGGAATTGATGTGCCAAGACATTTCAAAATTATTGCTGGTAACGCTGAAGATTCGGTGGTTTCTAATTGAAGGAGGATCTATCACAGTCCAAGGGAGAGTTATCAAAGAAAAAGCATTATTTTGTCCTTAAAACATACTGCTCTTCAAATCTCTTATAGATAGGCATTTATATGATCAATAGGGGAAATTTCTCTTTCAATTATGTCACAACAGATTCATCCCTCTCACAGTAAGAGGTTCCCTCATCCATTAACCAGTGGAGTGTCCATTCTTTTTTTCTTTCTTTTACCATAAATATTAGTGTTGACTCTCTTGTAATATTGATAATCTGACAGTGAACTCAAGCAATAAAAGAAAGTTGGAAATAGGCAACTTGTGTAATAAACATATGCTCACACTGGTGACCCTCTTGCCACTTTAATCGTTCAATGTACACCTGTAGGTGGAGATTCGATACCTTGATATATGCCTGGAAACACCCCCAACACCAATTTCTATAGAAGCCAGAGCCCAGCTTTTAGAGGCTGGGGAGATGAAGAAGGAAGGGGAGACAATTTTACTTATTTTTGCCTCTCTAGCCTAGTGCAATTATAGATTCGAAAAGAGAAGACTCCTCAGAGGAGCAGGCAGCCAGGCATCTGTATTCAGTGGAATTGAAATGGTTTTGAGCAGGGCCTGTCTCTCTCCACTAAATATAGACAGAGTAGAGATACTGTCCACAGACTAGAYACCTCTCAAAGACGGCTGGGATCAGGTGAGACAAACATTAGTCACCAAACTGAACTAGAGACCAAGTCATCCTGCTAACACTGCTTCAATTCTTTTCTACTAATAGCCTGAGAAAAAGGATTGTTTTCTTAAATTATTTTAATGGGATAGAATTTTTTCCAGGCCTTGTGCCAGATGGCCCAAAAGTCATACTGCCCTGTGCTGGGAAGATTCCAGTTTAATTCTTTTAGCTTCAAATTAGATCAGAAGCTGTGGATAAAGAATGAAGATCTAGAACATCCAGCCTATCTCCGTGAACCAGGCAAAGAATTCCTTAAAACTATTTCCTCCCTAAAAAAGGAGATATTGTTAAAAGGATTGTGATAACCCTTGTCTGAAAAAAAACTGAAGTCACCAATATAAAGACAATTCCACTGGGGTTTGAATTTGTTCTTATCATGGTCCCTCAGGCAGCTGTAATGCAAAGCAGGGAGAGCATCCGTTCACAACRGTTCGCTCCAGTGCAGGGTGGCTGTGGCCACCCACCCTGGCTGAACAATCCCCCGTCAGCAGCTTTGTGGAGTCAAAGGCAAGAGGTCTGCTTCCTAGCAGCTATGGCCAGGACTTGGACGTGGTATCGGAGCCTCCTCCYTCTGGGACCAAGCAGGGATCATCACTCAGCTGGGTCCAGAGGCAGGACTGTGGTATCCACCTTGTGCAGCTCTCACCAGAATTCTTCCGTGTGTTGGAGGCTTTGGATTACCAGCACATGCCCTACAACAGGAGCTGCACCTGAACTGTTCGCCATGCAAAAGTGGCTCAAGAAGCCCATCACTGCCACCCCACTTCAAGGAGGTCAGCTTCCTCCAGTAACCACTGGGATAATCACTGGCCTTTTCTAGTGATCCATTCATAGCACTACAGCTCCAGATCCAGATCTCCCACTGCTGGATCCTCTTTCTTTCCGTAAGTAGACTTTCACTCCAGAATTATTATCAGCTTTTGTGAACATCACCCCACCACAGCATAACCAGCCTCAGCAAAAAAGGGATCAACAAGGTGCTGAACTAAATGCAAGACAATATTAATTCAAATCCAAGCTTACTCACAGCATCCAGCCTCGGCAGATTGGTTAGTCATGGACAAGGGAGCCGAATTACTTATTGACTGAGAGCTATTGCTAGTGTTAATGGTATCCAATGCTGTATTTGGAACAGATGTTACTATGCCTAAGGGAGAAACAATAAAGCATTCCTAATACAGCAAATCCAAAGCAATAACATTCACATTTTAAAGAGTTGAAAAGCAGCAACAAAAGTTATATAAATACAAATGAAAATACATGTATTATCATGTAAGTATATAGATAATCCATTATTATAATATTTGAAGCTAAATGATTGTAAAATTGTTTTTGAACGAAAGCACCGAATCTGAAAATATTTATCTCGTAATCTGTAAGCTTGTTAACAGACCCACTGACGTCTGTAGATTATAAGTACATGCCTACATTCTTTGCTGGACTTTGCAAAGAATCATTTCACCCACTGCTAAACTCCAGCTGCCTCCAAAAGAGGAACTCAGCAACACTTTAGCAGCTCAAGGTGATACTGCACAGCCACTGAGTTCAGGCTGTAGTCCTGCAGTCAGAACGGAAAGGAGACTTTATGTGCACATTTTGTAATTAATCATATTTCCATAGGCCACTAGGGAGGTGTACTGACTGTGAATGATTTGCTCTGAGAAGTCAAGGTCTGAAGYTAGAGAGATTTTAGCTAGATTTCAGCTGAGGGTGAGATATGGGAGACAGCCTGGAACTGTGAGATAAATACACCACATTTCAAACAGAAATAGCTAACAGCTAGCTCCTACAGTACCTCTTCCCAAAACGATGATATGGGTCACCCTGTATTCCAGTACTTCTTACCTCTCAGGCAGCTCCTGCCCTAGATCAAAGTCCCACAGAAATAGTCTCAGTATTTTCAAGGTGAGACACACATTTCTTACCTTCCTGTCTTGTGTTCCTCTGTTGAGGACTGGCCTCGGCATGGTCGTGCTGAGGGCTGCAGCTGTAATAACCCTCCAGATTTACACAGGTGTCTCTCTTAGGACAGGCATTGAATATGGCATAGGAACATTCATTGACATCTAAGAAGAAAATCATATCTTACACAGATCTTGATAATAGCATCAAGATTGATCTGCAATGTATGTAGACCAGACTATGGAGATGTTACATTCAGGGAAAATCTGCAGTTACTTTGTTGAAACGGCTCCCGAATCACAAAATGATTGAACTGCCTTTCCCTGAAACAAGCCCTGATTCAGCTATAATTTTTTTTTTCCTCTGAGATTTTTTTTGGAATAAAATGAAAATAGCGGCAGCCCTCTCTTCCACATCCAGACTGTCATCCAAATCCAAGCAAAATGAGAAGCAGGGAAAGGCAAATTATCAAATCACTTAAAGTTCCACTGAAAGTTGGAGTGAGTTTTCAAAAATAAACACTGAGCAAGAAGTAATGGCAAATTGTGCCATTGATGCATTTCAGGAATGGAAATGTTCAAGCAGCTATGCAGCAAAAAGTAGATTAAATCTATTCAGACCAACATTTTAAAATATTTACCTAAAATTTAAATACAAAATTATTAATTATCAGACTATAAATACTCATTGCTGCATGCAAGCTTATGGAAATAACACAAGTATACACAAATGGAATATATCTGCATATACAGATATAGAATACCTCTACATCCTTGTTAAGAGCCTCTTCTGCTTAAAATATTTAGTGATTATGACAGACTTTAACTCCTTTTGCTTTTCAACACAAAGATGGGCTATGATACTAGAGGAAAATAAATGTAAATCAGGAAGCAGGAATATTCCCCTCCAAATCATTTGCTCCCAAATTACTAGCTACATATGTATAGGACCATAGTTGCAAAGCTTATAAAATTTGCCACATCAAAATGTGAGTGCCAAGGAATAGTCCTACAGATAAAATCTCAAGTGAAGAAGGATAAAAAGGCTCCCTTCAAGAACAGGATTATAATAAATAGCAACCTTGCACATGTGTGTCAATCACTTCATACACACGCTTCACAACRTCCTTCAAGGAAGAAGACACATCCACTAGCGGAGCTGGTTGACGCAATCCAATGAGAACCTGAGAGGCCACTGTCCCAGAATATATTTCTGCATGGTTACTCTGGATGTGATACACAGAGGCACTCAAGGGCTGTAATGCTCCAGTAATCTGRAAAACAGGTAAACAAACAGTTTGGTATCTCATGTCTTTATCAGTGCAACGGCATGCCAATGAGGCATAATCTATGCAATGATTACTGTTACAAACTGAGTGCAGAAAACACCTATTTAGAAATCTTAGCAAACTAGGTCTCTATTTATGCAAAAAAAAAAACTCATTATTCTTGCATTTCACAAAGAAACTGCAGCACAGTAATGCCAGACTACTGAACATGTGGAGCTGCGATGTCAGATCTCAAGGGCTTTGACAGAAACATGTAACCCAGACAGATATGGAAATGTTCTGTTTGGCATGTAATGCTTAAACAACAAAATGAAATACACTTTAGACAGGCCATTTGTGCACCTGTAATAAAGCTGTCCAACACTTCCTATTTTAAGCAACTAAAAAGTGTCCTTTAACTTTGTCACAGTTTGACCAGGAGAACTAAAGTTTTCCAGGGTAGGAGTCAGCCTCAGGGTGATATTTTTTTCCTTGTGGTTTTTGAAGGCTTCAGAGGAAATAATTCAGTAGTTCCTAAGAAGTAGGACCTCTGAAAAGTCATTAATGAGAATTCCAGAGACATTATATGGAAGAAACTCTACCATTACCTGAGTGTTTAGGAAGAACAAATTGCCATTTGGCATGTGTTCAGATTGACATGCATTAGGACTGTGGGTTTTCTTCTTCCTAGGAAAATGTTACCACTCTTGTACAGGTTCAAATTCCCTGGAAAATTAGGTTTATGTCCATCGCCCCCAAGCTTGCTTCAGCCTCTTAGGGGTCTGAACCACAGAACAACTCAGCTTTTCCAGTGGCTCTTTAGGGTTTTCCTTGCAATTTCAGTCCCCAGCTGTGTTGTTCTGAGAGCAGAGCTCTGTGTTCACAGAACACGTAGCACTGTCTTTCTCCTTGCTTTTTTATTCAGGGAATATAATGGAGAAATGTCACCAACTGGAACATGAGGAACAAGAGACAGGCCAAAAAAGATGGAAAGGAAGGGCTAGAGAATGAAATGTAGATGAAAGAATGAGGTTTAAGAGGGGGGAATGTACTAGTGCTGGCCAAAGTATTATTAAAAATAAAAAGGAGCGGGAGGGGAGTGAAGCARCAGATTGTTGAGCAAAGAGATTGGGACTAAGTGCAATAGAAAGAGACATTGGGAATGATTTAGCCTTCATAACCACGTCGCAAATCAGAGAGGGGACACTGAAACCAGCTGGGCATTGGAAAAGGCATCCTCGGAGCAGACAGAGCCTGGAATACGTTCTTTTGAGAAAAAAAGTTTCTTGCAAGGCCTCCTTTTGGTGTTTTCTTTTGAGTGTTTGACTTTTTGCCTTAGCTTCCTTGAGACCAAGATAGGTGAGTCTGGGTAGATTGCCTCTGCTCCTTACCCAACAGGACAGGATTAGGCAAGGAGGAATTGAAGCGAGGAATTGAGGCAGAAGGGAAGAAAAAAAAACATACAAAATTCCCATGTTACTGCTATCATTTATGTTCTCCTGCTCACCGAATCTAGAGCATTGTGGCAGAGAAGCATCCTTTGCTATAATATAGATAAATGTGTATATATATATATATATATATATCTCCTGCATATATATATATCCTTTGCTAATAGGGAACTTCCCTTTGGGTACCTTTCAGTGATGACATCCTATCCCCCTTTTTTTTTTTTTTTTTTTTTTCCCCAAGGAAATAGTGACATGTACTGGGAAAACCCTTCAAGTTTATGGTTTGGTGTCTTTGTCCTAGCTCATCAATGCAGTTCCTAAATACCACTCCACGGACTAAAAAGGTCACCCTGTCTGAACACTATGTTAGCCTGTAGCCTGGTTCTTCCTTTAGACAGACCATCCTTTAGCCCCAGACTCTTCTTATCTGTTGTAGCTGGGATACTAAGATCCATACTGTGCCGCTGTAATGCGACTATACACACAGTTACCATGGCCACAGCTAATCCCTGCAAGAGGCACAGCCTTGGCCCTACGGAAGAAGGAACTCACTGGTGTCTCACGGAGCACCACTGCCTACAGCAAGAATGAAAATGAAACAGATCCAGAGACATTAGCATGCCATATTCCTAGATTTTGTCAGGAAAACTTCCAGCCTTGCATAATCCACCCTGCATGGAGTTCCCAGTTTCAGAGATCAGATTTGTCTCTTGAAAAGTTCATCTCAAAACTCCTTATTGGAAAACATCACACATAGCAGGTCTTGAAACCCCAACCCAGTCTGACTGGCACAGACCTAGAACTGAACTGAGCTGAAGCAGGTGTCACTTAAGCAGGATAACAAATGTATTTCAGAATATGAAAACTTTAGATTCCCCTTGTCAGAGACCTGATATATCTACTCAAGAAGCTGTTAAATTAAAGTTACTTGAGATTCCAGAGGATGCAGTTGACATTTGGAATATATTAGGGCCAAAACAATTACATTGCTTTGCCCTCCATTGGGAGAGCAACTAGATAGCAAGATTATGCCCAGCACATAAGATTATGAGATCCTTTCCAAACCAAAGCCATTAGGAGTAACTAAGAGATGCTGATGCAATGAGCMACAAACAACATTTTTATCTATACATACCATGGAGTGCAACAGGCGAGAATGATTCAAAAGGTGGGGATCCACTCTGATTAATTCACTAAAATCCATTTTAACAAGCACTGTTACATTGTACCAGAATATTCTTTCTGAAATGAACAAAATTAAACAGCTCAATCAGCGGAGATCTGAGGTCTCAGTTCAGAGCTACAGGAAGGTCCCGAGAAACTAAGCCAGGTTTAAATTAATTTGAAATTTTGAAGGGTCTACACAAACCATCAGCTACTGCTATGTTTCCCATCTGCTGCAGAGAGCAACTCAAGCTAGAAGAACTTGAGCAAGGTCCACTGGACCTGTAGCTCCTGCTRTTTGGGACTCACAGGTTCAAATACTGAAGCTGAATATCCTGGAGCTAATCCAAAACAGATTTCTATATTTGTTTTATGAAGAGCTATGGCAACAGTTGTTCTGCCCACTCCCATTCTCATAAGCAAAAACAAAGCATAATTTTTGTATTAGACACAGTTTTGAATTTATCAGTTGCATACCCTCTGGCACTGGATCCACGCAGCCTTCTCCTTTGGATGAGCTGCAGCACTTTTTAAGCCCTGGACATTCAGTATCAAACGTGCAAGGATAATCAGATGTTTCCATATTCTCCGTTGGACAAACACCAGGTCTTGAGGCAAATACACTGGATCTRTTGAGTGCTAAGTAACAAAAACATTTCTGAGAGCAAAAACATAGAACACTCTTTCCATAAAACTGTGGTGCTGAATTTATAACAAACGCCTTCGCCTTGTTTTAAAAGTGTGTCTGTTCTGAGGTTTTCATGGGGAGAAAACAGAGGCCATTATTTCAATAGTGTCAATGCTATGAGAATTTTCTCTTGTTCATAACAGTTCTGTTACATAAATACTTAACTTATAATTTTACATAAGTGTGTGTGTGTCTGTGTGTGTGTTATAAAAGCATATATATATATGTAGTTCCTAAATATGGAGACATTGTAACATTGCAAAATTCAGAAAATGAGAAAATGTAGCCAACGTCAGCTATGAGTAATCCAAATAAAATAAAACGATCAAAGCAAACAAGTAATATCTACACTAGAATTCAGGAGATTTTCTTTAACCTTTTGTTGCAAAAAAAAATCAAATATCAATAATCAAAGATGATACACGAGAACTGAAATAAATGCTGTTCCCAGTTACAGATAAATGGGTTACACACAAGGAAAGAGAGCAGAATTTAGCTCATTCTCTTTAACCTGACAGCATTCAAGCAGCATCAGCCTTGCACCCCATGAGATCCCCAGCCCATGGCAGACGACCCTATGGAATGGGTAGCCAGGGCAGCTGGTTTCTGTTTCCCAAAACTGTGGTCCTGGCTCAATGCCAACACCTACTTTTCTCCAGAGAAAAAGAAAAAAATATAGTTAAGTTCCACAAACACCATCTTCACCCACGCTCTCAAATATAGCTACAAGCTCAACTCTTTTCTTTCTAACTGGCACAAAAATTTCTCTTCTCTTTTCCATTCATTTGTGGCTACAGCTCCTTGGTCATGTAAACTCTCAATCCATTTATTGAGCAATTAAGTCAGCCAGGAGAAAAATGAAGATGATTCTTGCTGTAGAAATAGGTTATAATGGAGAAATGCATTTCTTATAATAAAGTTGATTGCAAATGAAAGGTCTATAAAAAATGAGCAAACTACAAGTCTATCAACAAATGCCATTTYCCATGAGTTTTCCATTTCTGTTATCCCAAGGCTCTGAATAAAAGTAAAACTAATGTTTCTGAGAAATGGAAGGGAATATTGAATCTATGACTTTTGCCTCAGCAAAGTAACCTTTTCAAGCAGGCAAATGATCCTGATTAGTCAAAATTTAAACTAAACTGTGTAACGTGCTGACATATGCACATTCCAGATCCCCCTCTCTGCTAATTCACAATAGACTGGAACCTACCACAAAAAGAGCGCCTTGGGTTTTTAGTAAACTCTGTAAGAGATCTCATTTTTAATGCTGCAAATCCCCAGTTCAATTTACAACCCAAGGATGAAATTTAAAATTAAGCACTGAAAACTTGTCACATAGAATTGGTAGCAATGAAGAAAAGCAATGTTATTTTAGTGATGGGGGTCCACAGCTTATATGGAAAACCTGCCAGTACCCACAAGTTGGAGACCAGTGGAGATGCTTAGATAAGACTTCTCAGCAGAAAACATTTTATTTGCACATGCAGTTTGGAAGCTCTGGGCCCAGAATACATGGGTGAGTGCCTTTTCCACACTATTTTCAATATTTCCTATCATATTTGGTATGTCCTATCATATTTGCTATGCTCTGTATGTATATTTTGGGTGTATGCAGTCAACAAGCACACCCTTTAGCAAGACTGTGAGAATCATTCAAACTAAGATCATTCAAATCATTCAAACACACAAGAGCTTCTGAGAGTGAATAAGGACCGTCCCCCTGGCCCTGATGCAAGGCTGACTCCCGTACGTCTTGCAGGGTTTGCCCTGCTGCCTAAAGGTCACTTTGCATCATAAACTCAGGTCTGTATTGACAAGCTAAAACAAAACAAAGGCAAAACAAAACAAAACAAAACAAAACCCTGTATATATTTTTTTTCTTTTTAGCATGTTGAATGAAGAATTTAAGAGTCACGAGTCACAGGCAATCTCAGCAAACACCACTGAGTCCTGGCTGAGTGCCACACTACCCATTTATCGAAAACCTAAAGGTCATCATTTTTGCATCAGCGGAAACGGGGATGGATTCACATCCCATTTCTGCCTCATCACACCAGATGCGCTTTGAAATTCAATTCAGGCTTCTCTACTTCGATCATCTTGGGGACAGTCACCCAGAGCTAGGCCATCTGCCAAGCAACACTGGAAGCACCAGGGGTGGCAGCTGCCAAACACCCCCATCAGTCAGATAAAGCACAGATTTTTCTCCTTCGTTATTTGCATAGAATTAGAGACATAGAAAAGCAGCATCCACTGCCTGGCAACTCAAAGCTCAGTTACAACCTATGGATATAGTATAGCTGCAGTGTGTGGTRTTGGGGGATACAATTTGTTCCACAGTAACCTCCTTTCCTCTCTCTCCTCTCACCTGGAAGACACAAAGGATGCAGCACAGCTAAGGATCAGAAGGTGGAAGCAAATCTATAATATTATAGAAAAAAAGTTTCTATGATATTATAGGGGGAAAAAAAGCCCATTATAAAGGTTCTCCAGCAGTTGTGGTTATAGCATCCCATTTCAAGGCTCCAGGGGAAATTCTCCTTCCTTAGGCTCTGTCCAGGGTTTAATCAGGATGCAGGGCAGTGTCAGGATGTGCTGGTTCAGTGTCTGGCGAAATACTTAATGCCCTTTCCTATGAAAAGTCATATTATTCACCAGAACACACTCGTTTGTTCCCTGGAAGGGGATCAAATGGAGATAGGTGGTAGATCAGTAACTAAGGAAGGAGCTTCTTGCCTGTAGCTCTCCTGTTTTATCTTATGCAGTGATATGGAATGCRGGTGGCAAATGAGCCCACAGGAAGACGAGTAACCACACTACAGATTCAGGCAATGGAGAACTGGACCTTGTCTCTGCCTGAAAGAATGTCTGCAAGATCCTGAGAAAAATCACTTAAAATAAACTCATATCACCCTCTCAGACACATGGGCTTTGCAGGCTCCAGGAACCTGATCTGCTGCCTTAGCGAATGTGATATTCCTCATAGTCGCCGTTGAAGACACTGATTCCAAACACATGGAGTTGTTAAAGGCAGCACTAAATGCCCAGAGGAAAGAGCATATCGTAGATGTTTCATAGAGGCCACACACAATTATTTGATCTGAAAGTCTCTGCAGCTCAGTTCCTCGGCAGTAAGACAGAGTACCTCCCACCCTTCACATGGGTTTCATGAAGATAAGTTACGGTCTGTGAATCACCCCAGGATTTACCTCAAGATGTGATAAATAATCTCTCTTCAGAGAGAGCCTTAGCAGAGCACTCAGCCACAGAGTGAATGCAGAGGCCAGAGTGATGCACTGCTGGGAAACTCATTAGAAGGGCTTCTATCCACTCTGAGCATGACATGGTCCTTGGGGCAAGGCAGGAGAACAGGTAATTTAATTTAAAAAGAATGTATGCTTAGGCACAAAGAGAATGAACAATAATTGCATTTACTTAATTCTAACTTTAGAATTAACCCTATCATGTCTTAACTTTTAGATACTTGACTTTGCAATCTTAATTTTATAAAGTTGAAGTATTTCCTCTGTGTGTCTGTAAAATTGTCCTAATGGATCAACAGACAACTAGTGGCCAATATTTGAGTAATTTGAATAATGGCATACGTATTTCTGCCCCAGCAGTACAGTAATAAGAAAAGCAGGGCCTGTCATACCCCATGCAGGGGTAAATGATTCCTTCCAMGAAGAAAAGGTGGGGAAGAGTCCAGAAACAGGTTTTTGTGAAAGGTTAAGCTGACCTTTCAGCTCCTAGTACAATGGAGAGAATGCCAGCATGGAAGCATGGATAACGTCAAGGAGAAAATAACCGTAGTTCAACAGCACACCGTGCAGCGATTGCAGCCGTTCCAGTTTCCTCTTTTCATCATTTATTTAAGGCTGTGTCTAGACAGTGCATTACTATTCACAGAATTTATGACTAATGCCCTGAAAAGCAAAGATACTGGAATAATCTAAACAGAGAAATCACCTAGAAACCATATGAACACTTTGATGGCTTAAATTATTCCCGAATTAAGTTTGACAGGAAAAGAGTCAGGACGATCACAGCATTTCACGGATAAACCCATCCAGGGTGCATATCAACAATGTGGCAAATTGAATTTGAAATTCCATAGCTAAGCTTTGCGGTAGACCTGTAGYATTGGATGAAATAAACTCAGACACCTCTTAAGCTTATGTGTTTGCTAGAGATGCTTCTTAAATGCATGCAATTATACTAGGAAAAAAAATGTGTAACCAAGCATGGAGTTTCTCATTCAAATAGAAAACCATAACTTGCTAGTCACTCTTCAACATATTCCCTTGTGCTGTGGAATTCAAAAAGCAATTTTCTCCCACTGTTTCTCAGCCTTGCCATCTGATTCATTTATTTATAGAACAAATGTGCACACATGCATATATATTAAAAAGATCTTACTGAAGTGACTATTGAACATGAATTAGACCTCCTGGAGAATTTCACCTGTCAATATCAACAGTGAGTCTTCTGCCAGTCTGACAAGACTGTCTGGAAATACTGTAACCTGCAGGTCAAATTTTGCCCTGGCTGACATTTAGCAACAGACACAGAAACAAAGCAATAGCAGGAAACAATAAATGAGGTATGATGTGTGCCTAATTATGCTTTTATTCTTTTTCCCTGCCAAACAGAACAAGCACTTGTGTGTTACAGTCTTCCTGTTAAAACTTTTTCCTCCTAAAACAACATTCTCCTTATTCTAACTACTCCGAAAACAGCTTGGAAAAGTTGTTTGGAGGTTCATCTTCTAATGCACTGAAGCAACTTCAGAGATGGATGAACACATTTTGTCAAGAATAACAGCTCACTTGACAAGACATACGGTTCACACCCGCTCAGGTCATGTTATGTGCTTGGGGAGCAGCTTGGGGGACATTCCCACAGACTTGAGTCACTCGAGCCAAGTGACCCAAAGGCAGGGCCAGGATTGCAATAGGACCTACCCTTTTTGATCTTTCTACAYTGTTGATACTATGAAAATTCTTAGGACCATAACTTGAAAAGGAGAAAYGGAGAAAACACAATGTCATATTGAAAATATGAGACAGAATTATGTCCTACAGAATTTTTTTGGATGCTAGCACCATTCAGTGCTTTTCCAGCTAATCCAGGGTGCCTGTTCAGCTTAAAAGCATATGTTTTTGTCCATAAAAGAAGGTTGTATGATAATCTAATAATATATATAATATATATAATATATATAATATATATAATATATATAATATATATAATATCATATATTCATTAAATTTTCTTCTGAAAGAAATACAGACAATCTAGTACAGCCTTTTGACTAAATAATCTTTTTCAAGTATGATTTTCACCTAATTACAGATATTCTTAAATGTCTTAAAGTAAAATAAATTGCTCTTTTGCCAAAACAGACTCACGCAAAAGTTGTGCACCTTTTTATTTCTACTAGAAAAACCTTTGCTTACATCAATGTACCTCCCCTAGCAAACTAATAACCAGAGGTACTTTGTCATAGGAATTCATTGGTGAGTCCTTGGAGGATTTCAGAAATTTTCTCTGGGGAATAACTTCTACCTTTGTATTTCAAGTACTAAAGTACTTCAAGTGCTAAAAATTAGGAATTGATTGTTGGCAACAAATAGCCCTGATGGGAAAGGGGGAAGAAAAAGTTCCAACTCAAGTAAAATRCTATTACTTTTTCCTAAGTAAGCAGTCTTGTCAACAGCTCAAAAGTTAAATGAGATCTGCTAAAGGGTTCGTGTAAACAGAGCCCTGGGTAACCACGGAAGCCCTGAGAAAACTGACCCCGATACAGTTTTGATAGGAAAATATATGGTACAAATTTTGCCCAAGGCCATGAGTTGTTTGAACTCAACACCCACCCAGGTAAGCAGTCTAGAAACTAACCCTGCTCCAAATCAAGCTCTTACTGTAAAAGCAACCTCACCTAGCACRGGCACAGCTGAGGGTGAGCTACTCCACTTGGCCATGTGTATTGAACCGAACCAGGACAAATACTGAGCCCCTGAATGGGGAACAAATAAATGCCTTCTTCCTTCTCTCCTACAACAAACAGGCAGAATCCTGTGAATCCGGAGCATTAGTATTTCATGTCTATACCTTCACATTTTGAACCAGGTTTATTTTAGTTTTTATGCAGGCTCACTGATTTTATCTATTACTCAGAACTGAATTAAAGCTCAGTCTCAAATCAAGAGATTTGACCTTCCAGCAGAAGCACTCCTTTCAACTATTAATCTGGTTAAAACTTACCCAAAGCGCAGTAGAGTCCAACTTGTTCATATCCTTCACAGCAGTCGGTGATATTTAGGATCTCAGGRACTTGGACAGCATGATAGTGTGTTTTATAGTAGGTCCGGGGACAAATCATCCATGGAATCCATCCTCCACAGGAAGTGTTTTTCTCATAGGACTTTTGATAGGCAACCATTTTAAACACATTCCTGGTCAKGCTATAGTTGCACAGATGATAGCCTAGCAAAGATAGGCCTTTTTCTGGGAGAAAAAAAAAAGTAGAAAAGAAAGTGATAGCCACTGATTCTGCATAGATAGCATAAGGTCTCTGCAGTGTCTAGTTAAAAAAACAGCTATAATAGCAGCAATAGAACCAATACAAATGAATGATTTCCAAGAAAGCTGATGTTAGGAAGAATGCTACTTCTGAAAATGGGCAGGAAAAAAAATTAATCCTGCCTGTCTGTCRTATGCATGATTTCAATTATAAAAGGATGAGGACTGGCAGAAAATTCAAATAGCTCTCAATGCCTTCAGGTACAAAGGAAAATAAAAGGCAATTTAATTCAAATAAATTAATAAATTAATAATTCAAAGAAAATTAACAGACATGCTCCAAACTTCAGATATGTGCTCATGGATCTCATGGACTGAGAAATTCTAGAGGAAGGGTATTCACAAACAGAGAAAACACAAAATTTGGGGAAAAAAAATATTTTTAATTAGGGACAACAGATGTAGCTGTCACTACTTTATCTATCTACCACACAGTTTTCTGCATTTAAGTTCAGCTGCTGAAAYTGTCTCTGTAAATAAAGGAGAAGAACGGGTACTTCCACGTCAGAGTCATCCAGCTATTTCAGATGCACACCCCAGGCCCAGGCCATCGAAGTGCCTGTCTTTCCTCACTGACTGTAAGTGGAAGGTAGGATGAGTGACTTACAAGCAGATGAGTCACGGTAGATGTCTGGAAGAAGATCTCCTTCAGACATTGCCGTGGGCTAACACTGCGTAGTCAGACATCACTGGGGAGCACTTTCAGGTGTCTGACACACAAAAGAAAAGCTATTCTTGAAGCTCCTGCATTGCCTGTCTACATTTGTAACAGGCAGTGTTAGTCCAGGTCCTCTGAGAGCTGCTGTGCTTCACTGGCTTCAGTTTAAATGAAATCAGTGATAGCTCATTAGCTACCTAATTTTATGCAGGTCTGAGAATGAGACTCAGTTTCTAAGCTCTGAAACCAGCAACGATGAGGACAGATTTAACATAGCACAAACTAGTCTTAAATAAAGCATGTAACAAAAATGAAA